TTTTTTTTTTTTTTTTTTTTTTTTTTTTTTTTTTTTTTGGAAATCCTGCTGTTGTCATGGCTTACACCTTACTACTTGGTGATTGAGTTCATAAGAGTTATTCATATGTCTAATGCAAACAGATCTGATACAAGTGATCTAATGCAAGTTTTAGCAACCCGGTTACATCAAATGCTGCTTTCAACCGTTTCATCTACCAAACATCTACCATTATGCCTGCACTTTTAAAGTAATCGATTGCTGAAGAGAAATAATGGAGATGTTTGTTTACCAGGTTGCTGGATCCTCAGCTGGTACAGTCATTTGAGACTGAAATCCTTGTCTTTTTCTCACATGCACAAAGCAATCATATTGGCTTTTGACACCAGCAGTTCTTCCAAGCATCAACATTTTCACTTGCAGGACTGCTGGAGTGCTGCTGCCAAGTTCACAAATGGGTTTAGGAGTCAAGTGCCATCGAGTACAGTTTTCTTTAGAAATACAGCGACTGAAAGCATAGAAAGAGGCCACACTTGATGTGGGCTGATCAAGCCCTACTTTGTGCTTAAATGTATGTCTGAAAGAGAAAGCTAATTAATAGTAGCTCAATAGATAGATATACACAGCAAGTAAGATCACATGAGATTAAATACATATTTTTCATTCTCTTAAAGACATACCGATAAAGGCATATGATTGATATGAGACATGTAAATAGTGAAGTTAATGTCCATATGTACACTTATTTGTTTTTAATCAAAATGTCTTTACTTAAAACAAGTAATTTTTTGCTTCAAATTATATTGTTTCCGCAAACAAGCAGTGAGGAGCTTGGCCTATTTGCAAGGTTTAAGAATAGCCTCCTAGGTGAATCTGGTTGAAAAAATGCCAAGAGTGTGTTTTTCTTTATTACTGAAATAACTGTAAATAATGTAGCTATGAACAGCCGTGTCCCACCTTTTGACTTGTAGTTCAGTCGAAGAAGAGCCAGAATGTCCAAGCTGTCGTATGATGCTGGAATTAATTTAGTTAGTAGCTCCTACTTTAACTTTGTTGCACTTATTTTTCTCTCACCATAAAAAAGCTTATCAGGCCCATTTTAGCGATGCTGTGAAATTCTGTGCATTGGTGTTTTATATGAAGTGACAGATATGCAGTGTGTGAAACGACGCTGTAGCACACTGCTCGATTAGGTCAATGTCAGTGTGTGACTTGATCAGACTAGCCATCATTTCATTGTCACAACTAGTTTGCCATGGAGTGTGAAGCAGTAGCCTAAAGGAGCAAGTGGCAGGCAGATCATTTTGTGTGTGCGAATGTATCCACACTGTGTCCCCTGGCTGAACCCTGCTATATTCTCCCTTATGAACTTTAAACCTTAAACCATTAAAAACTAGTACTAGACATAAAGCCATAAGGAATAAACACACCTTGTGGTTAACCGGAAAGCCACACTCGTGCCACTGGAGCTGTAGAACCTGAATAAGGCATACCGCAATTGCCAGGTACCAGCAATGCTGACTTCTTAAAATGGTACTTGCAAGGTAATTTCCAGTTTATGGGTCCAGTGTCCATCAAATAGAAATGGAGCACCACTGGCCAGAGGTTTGGGAGATGGACAGTTCTAAGCACTGCAGTAGCACTGACATGGTAGTGACATGTTTTTGAGGTGTTTTGTGCTGTGGTATCATGTGGATGTCAGGCACAGTAGCATTGGTAGAGTTTAGTATAATATGTTGAGTTGTTTTCAGTGCCGCATAACTAAATATCCTTCATGCCAGGGTACAAAGATTACCAAACATTGGTAGAACAAGAAATATTGGTGACCATTGATTGGTCAAACACAGACATCAAGCAAGTCAGACAACCTCCATTTTGGTGGGGGACGACTACATGAACTGCATCACATATTACTGTACTACACACTATATCAGAAAGTATTATACAGTATAGTGGCTTACTATTTGGAAGAAAAGTATGTGACTTGGTAACTTGGATTCTAACTTTTCTGTTGCACAGTATAGCACAGCAATCTTCAGTAGTAGTGTCTCAAAATATTTTCATCGAATACAGCTGGTTTTAGAGTGTGCTGTTAGACTGGTCTTGCTTGTCACACTGATCTTCAGATGAATTCTATAACAGACTCTGTGATAATGTTTTCTCCATGTCAAATTATATGATGAAAATCCTCCAACAATAGATCTGTGATTAAAGAAAATGCTCCCATTCTGCTCACGTCATCAGTGTGATCCGGGCTCAAATGGGTTTGCATAAACAGAAATATTCTTCAAAGCGAGCTTGAGATAACAAAGATTTTTTTTTTCTGTCCATTACCATGTTTCTTTTATGTTTCACCATTGACACTACCGTATTTGTAGCTGTCCTGTGAGGTCTGTGTAATCCTATGCTGTCCTCCAATTGGTGGCTTTTATATGAGTGTTGTAGCAGTGACACTGCCAGGACTTTGTCAGGTGTCTCGATTGTCTGTGACTGCAAAATCAGGCCAAAAATTGTACAGTACCCAGATTACAATGGAAAATTTCTTTTGATTCACTGCTTAGTGTTTCATCAGACAATACCAAAAACTGGGTAAAGGTAAATTAGACTAAATAGGAAACAATGGCACAGCCACACAACCTCCTACTTCTATGGGTCAGGTCATGTGATCAGATACTAAGGTAGGAGTAGTTCTGGGTTTGACTTAGTAATCATGCTGTCAGATCACTCCGCCATAGAAATGTGCTTTTAGAGACAATAGCTTAACTTGTCCTTGCACGGTTCCTGTTCTTATCCTTAAGGGGAATGTCTCTCAAACCAGAAATGACATTGATTTGTTTAAAAACCCCAACAGCATGTCAGTGACACTGCTGTGCTAAGAATGGTCTATCAACCAAATAATATCTGTCCAGCTGTATTCCTATGATGGTCCTTTTCCTTTAGATGTAGCCAATAAAATGGCTGTAGGTACCACATGGATGTACCCAGAAAAAAAATATGGCAGACTGGCATTATATTATTAAATGTCCATTACATCTAGGTTAAAATGAAAACTAAATATTTGCCATCACCACTTTTAAAGCACTACTGCACATGTGTCCTTTCCATTAAGCCCTAGCCTTTTCTTTGTTTTATGTAGGTTCTGTGCTGTTGCAGTTGCGTGATAGTTCTGGTCACACTCCTTTGGACCTGGTTTCCTGTGCGGCGCTGTGTGAGGAGCTCATACGCTGTGCTGAAGAAGGAGACACATCTCTG